CTATTTATTCTCCCGTTCTCTTTTTTATTTTTTTCTTCATTTTTTATTCTTTATTTACTCTCTCCCTCTTTCTTAACCTCGTTTCCTTGTTTTTGTCTTTTCTTCCCTATTTCTTTCTTCTTTCTTCTCTCTCTAACTCTTCCCTATTTCCACGTTTTTCTCTCTTCTTTCCAACTTCTTCCTTCTTGCTACTCTCACTTCTTATTTCCTCTCTTCCTCTTTCCTATCCTGTTTCCTTGTTTTTCTTCTTCCCTATTTCTTTCTTCTCTCCTCTTTCATCTTTCTTCTCACTTTCTTCTCTCTCTTCCTCTTTCCTCTCTCTTCTACCTTTTCCTCGCACCGTCTCTTCTTTCACCTTCTTCTTCCTTCTATCTTCTTCCCTTTCTTCGTTTTTCTTTCGTCGCTCTTCCTCTTCCTTCTTAATCTTTCTTTCTTCTCTCTGTTCCTCTTACCTCTTTCTTATCCCATTTCCTCGCCCATTTTCTGCTCTTTTGCTCGTCTTTTATTCTCTAACTCTTCCTATTTCTCTTCTTCCCATCCTGGCTTATGGAAGATTTTTTTTTTAAATATTAATGTTAAGATTATTATTTTTTTCAATACTTTTATATACAAAAAATATTTGGGTATTCGCGTCCAAAGGTATCCTCTAATCAATTGCGTTTATTAACTATTTTGTTAATTAAAACATTCATCTACAATATGAATATCGATATCTTCACTTTAATGCATTATTATTATCAAGAGAGTGTATTTACGTGAATGTATCAATGGTTTAAGATTGTCAAAACATTCAATAAACGCGATGCCGGACCATTGTCTGAGACCCGGTTTGCGATTACCTTAATTTTTCCCTCTTCATTTTCCCTATATATGTATGTGAATGTGTGTGTGTGTGTTATACAAACACATACACACACACACGTACACACACACACACACACACACACACACACACACACACACACACACACACACACACACTCACAGACACACACACACACACACACACACACACACACACACACACACACACACACACACACACACACACACACACACACATATATATATATATATATATATATATATATATATATATATATATATATATATATATATATATATATATATATATATATATATATGTATGTATACACACACACACACACACACACACACTCACACACACACACACACACACACACACACACACTCACACACACACACACACACACACACACACACACACACACACACACACACACACACACACACACACACACACACACACACACACACACACACATATATGTGTGTGCGTGTGCGTGTGTGTGTGTATGTATATATATATATATATATATATATATATATATATATATATATATATATATATATATCTTCCCTTGTTTGCTATGATCCTTTGGCCCTTTCCTCTCTCCCTCCCTTCCTCAACTTACCTATTCCCTCTTTCAATCCCAACTTCCTCCCTTCCTATCTCTTTATTCCCGTCCTCCATTTTTTTCCATTTCCCTCTTCCTTCATCCCTTCCCTCCTCCGTCTCTGACTCTCTTTTTTTCTTTCTTCTTCTTCTTCTTCTTCTTCTTCCTGTCACAGCCTTACCTCTTCCTTCCGCCCTTCTTCCTTCTCGCTTCTCTCTCTTCCTCTTTCCTATCCCGTTTCCTTGTTTTTCTTCTTCCCTATTTCTTTCTTCTCTCCTCTTTCATCTTTCTTCTCACTTTCTTCTCTCTCTTCCTCTTTCCTCTCTCTTCTACCTTTTCCTCGCACCGTCTCTTCTTTCACCTTCTTCTTCCTTCTATCTTCTTCCCTTTCTTCGTTTTTCTTTCGTCGCTCTTCCTCTTCCTTCTTAATCTTTCTTTCTTCTCTCTCTAACTCTTCCTATTTCTTTCTTCTTTCTTCTCTCTCTAACTCTTCCTATTTCTTTCTTCTCTCTCTAACTCTTCCTATTTCTTTCTTCTCTCTCTAACTCTTCCTATTTCTCTTCTTCCCATCCTGGCTTATGGAAGATTTTTTTTTTAAATATTAATGTTAAGATTATTTTTTTTTTCAATACTTTTATATACAAAAAATATTTGGGTATTCGCGTCCAAAGGTATCCTCTAATCAATTGCGTTTATTAACTATTTTGTTAATTAAAACATTCATCTACAATATGAATATCGATATCTTCACTTTAATGCATTATTATTATCAAGAGAGTGTATTTACGTGAATGTATCAATGGTTTAAGATTGTCAAAACATTCAATAAACGCGATGCCGGACCATTGTCTGAGACCCGGTTTGCGATTACCTTAATTTTTCCCTCTTCATTTTCCCTATATATGTATGTGAATGTGTGTGTGTGTGTTATACAAACACATACACACACACACGTACACACACACACACACACACACACACACACACACACACACACACACACACACACACACTCACAGATACACACACACACACACACACACACACACACACACACACAC